GTTTTTTGCGCTTCAGGTACTCGGTTGAGGGGGAGCATACCAATGGTGGGTTTCACACTTGAGGGGGAGATTGTTGGGATATTCAAGTGTGATGAGTCTCACATTGGTTAGTAATGAGCTAAGTGAAGAGTATATAATTGGAAGGGACCCATGAACCCAATGCCTTAAGGTTTTGGGTTGAGACATGGTGTCGGATCCACTTGCTACGATTGGTGTAGCCTTAGCTCATTGGTGGTGGCCCCCGCCACGGGCTTCCCCTTGGACCCGCCTGACATATATAACCCCCATATATATATATATATATATATATAGAAAAATCATACTCTCATGTTATATAAAATTGATCTTTGCACTCACATCGAAAAATATGCCTATCTTTTTTCTTTTTTAAAAATTAGTGAGCTTCACTTTATTTGTTTTTTAACATGAGAAATTTTTTCTTCTATTACATAAGAGAAGTAATCCCCCATATATAGATGGGCCAACCAAGAGTCCAACTCTTTAATATTAAAAAATGAACATATACTTAAAAGTTAAAGTCTTAATATTAACTATATAAATTTCATTAAGATTGGTCTAGTAGTGAATAATTTGGATAATTTGTATAGGATTATAGGTTCAAACCTCAGGTCATCATTGTATAAAAAAAAAACTCTCCAAAGTTATTTTTTATAATATATGTGTGTGTGTGTGTGTGAGAAAGATATTTTGACTCCAGAGTAAGACTTGTATGATTTTTGTCCATCTAACGGTTATAGTTTAGAAAGTTATATTAGTTAATTAATTAGTAATTACACTATAAATGACAACAATTGAATTCCATCCAACAATGATTGAGTTAAGTCTTACTCTGGAATTAAAAGAACCCTGTCATATATATATATATGGGAGAGATCATTTGACTCCAGTGTAAGATTTAAAAGTCTTACTCCTCATCTCAGCCCTTGATTTCCGTTCATCCAATGGTTATCATTTATTTGAAATTAATAATTAATTAATTGTTGTAACTTATTAAATTATAACCGTTGGATAAACAGAAATCAAAGGTTGGGATGAGGAGTAAGACTTTTAAATCTTACTCTGATCTATATATATATATATATATATATATATATATATATATATATATATATATATATATATATATATATAAAAGACAAATTTACACCCATTATGTCTGATGGGGATGTATTTATATTTAATGATAATAATTTATTAAAAATAATAAATTAATTGAAATATTGTAAAAAAAAGGTAACAAGGAGAAAAATAAACAATGGTAAAGTTAGTAACTAGGAAGGAATAACTATAAGAAAATATAGACATAAGAGAGAAAGGAAAGGAAATATCTTCTTCTTCTTTTTTGAAAATCACAGATATCTTCCATGGGAGGCAATCATGTTCGGGGTAGGTCCAGGATTAAGACTTTAAACTCCTCACAAAGATGGTACTGAGGAGGATTGAACATATGATCTCATCCAATGTTATTAAATCTGGCCCAGTTATTGACCCGGTCGAGGTACTCAGTCACTGGTTCAACCGCATGACCTGGTAAGTATATGTAAATCTATAATTTATATTAAAAAATTTATAAGCATACTCAAATATCTATAAAAAAGGTACCAATTCTAAATATTTTAATATGAAAAATAATAAATCACACATTATTATCCAACAAATGATCAAACAAACATATTTACCAAAAAAAAAGATCAAACAAACATATAATGCTTGTGATACTGGTGCTTCATGTTCAGTAAATGACATCTCTAGCTATAACTTGAATCAAAATTCATTGCATAGTGCATAACCAAGATAATATTAATGTTGTGAAATTTTATTTGTGAATTTAAAAGAAATTTATCCTTTATGATACTTTTTTTGAAAATTTTTTATGAACCGAGTCAGGTCACTGGTTATCCGATCGGGTCACCGATTTTCTCAAAAATCGGCCGGGTTGCACCAATTTTGTTACTTGACTGATCCAACATGAAAACCAAACCGGTTATATGGCCGGGTCGGGTCACCGATTTTCTCAAAAACCAGTCAGGTCGCACCGGTTTTGTTACTTGACCGATCCAACATGAAAACCAAACCACCATCACCTGCTCAGTTCTCATGCGCCAATTGAGCTACCATTATTTGGTGAAATATCTTCTCCTTGTGCTGTAGTATACCATGAAGCTTTGTATATGCGTCTATTTATAGGCTCACAAGACAAGATAAAGTTACATTAAGATAAATGACCAATTACTCTTCTTCAATGGTTATAATTGGGGATTAAATATCCAACGTCATATTTGGGGTTATGAACATCCAATAGTCATATTATCTATAACATATAACTCAATAAATTCCAGCAACTTGTTTTTTGTTATATCATTGATTAATTGACTAATTTGGTCAAACCGAACATGATTACAAGGCTGACAAAACTTTTCCTACCAAATTTTTAAGGTAGTTGTGTGCTCGGAACTCAAAATCACTGATTAAACTGAAACAATCTTTTACCAATTGATCCACATTCTCGATAGTATGAAATCAAGCAACTAGTGGCAAGTAGGTCAAATGCAAAATTTGCTATTTTTGGACACCTATAAGTTGATGTTTCTCGTTATTTATTATGTGTAAGCACTGTTGCAAAACCCGGCCCGACCCGGCCGGGTCGACCCGGAACTCGGTGAACCGGTCATCAGACCGGTTCGGGTTAAGCATTAGACCAGTCATGCATTGACCCGGTCAAACCCGGTCAAAATCCGGACAAACCCGGTGACCCGGTCGGGTCATGCATTTTTTTTAAAAAAAAAAAACCAAAACTGTTTCGTCTTATAAAAAAAATGTAATACTTATTTTAAATTTTTTTTGTAATTTTATTTGTTAGTATACTCTTTTACAATGACCTCTTAGTTTTCAACACTGAAGCAATTTGTGGAATAATAAATTAGAGAATGTGACATATGTCATTTTAATGTAGTTGAATTTGAAAAATATGAGTTCAATGTTATTGAGAGGTATGTTTATGGGGATTCTGAGTTGCAATTTAAATTGACATAGTAATAGCATGCACTTTTATTTATTTATGTTTCATATTTTTTAGCTTATTTAGTGAATCTTGTTTAATTCATTTTAGATATGAAGAATATAATTGAATTTATATGGTTCATATTTATATATATCTATATATATTCGGGTCAACCGGTCAGACCAGTAACCCACCGGTCCAACCAGTGACCCAGTACCTCGACCGGGTCGATGTCCGAGTAAGATTTAACAACACTGTGTGTAAGCCTTTCTGGACTGTTTACGGACTGTTTGTACTTAATTTCAAACAAATAAAAGACAACTCCATTTTTACCAAAAAAAGAAGAAGAAGAAGACAGACTCCCACATGTAATGTCATTTTAAAAAAATAAATAAATTTAAGACTGAAAATAATTATCAAAATAATATAGTAAAAATGGATACATGTTTGAGTCGCGCAAAAGACTGTTGCGTGTTTAGGCATTAGTTGAATCAATGATGGTTAAGTAGCGCAAGCTAGATCAGTCATGATTATTTTGTTACGGTATAACCGTGAGGAAATTTTGTTCAAGGGAGAGGATACTTTGTCATCTTAACCAGTGGCGCATGAGATAGATATGCAATTGGTTCACCATGACTAATTTAACTTACGTCGCTGATTCGACTAATGCTTAAATGCACACTCATCCCGCGCAGGACTCAGTCACACACCCTCACAATACTCATTTTACTACATTATTTTGGTAATTTTTTCAGTTTTGAATTGAATTATATTATTATTATTTTTTTAAAATAACGTTCAAATGGTCAAAATGCCAATGTTCCTACACCCAACTTTTACCACGGGGAACAAATGTTATGCTTTGACCAAATTAACTATTCAGAAATGTATAGACTATCCAGTAAATTTCCAAGACAATGTGACAATTTTTTTTTTCCGCTTGTTCCTGCTTAGGATTTCGTCCTCCCTGTAACTCTACCAATAACGTTGGGGGACCAGGGGTTTACTAAATTTTATCAAAAGAAAACACCAGTTGCCCCGTTAATTGAACTCCGTATTTAAAGTCCTGATTTCTTTCTTCTATAATTATATATAAGGCCAAGTCTTGCTCATACATTTGTTGTAAAATTGGTACAAATTGATATAAGCTGCAATAACTTCAACCATAACTCAGTTTAGCCCAACGTCAACAATCTGTTGGAATTTGCCATAATTTGTTATACTCTATTACCCTGCAAACCCCTTCGCTGAAAAAATGTCAGCGAATCCATTAATGAATCTGGTGACATGGGACAACTTTATATATGTATCGTTACTAAACTTAAAAACCACCACCCTTCTATGTCCAATACGGATAATTGGGATTACAAACCCTGCTAAAGCCAGGTCCTTGATAATAACTTTGTTCTTTTAAAGTGTCTTTTTAGAATATTCCTTAATTAGGATATTAATGAAAAATTGACACACTATGTAAATAAAGATAAAACAGAAAAATATATTTCTCTTTATTTTGCATGTGCTTCCCTGCCATGTAGTGATGGAGTGACCCTTCGTTTGTCGTTATTAAAGACGTAATAATATCTATACATTGAACCAGTCACACTTTTTTCTAGTATGACCATATAAAAATATGAAAAGAAGCTGAAAGGATGGGGTTGGGGTGTTTTTTATTTTTTACTGGGAATTTTTATAATATGACATGACCATTGGCAAAACAGAATGGTTAGGATTATGACCGCAGGCCACATACAATAAATAAAATAAACGAAAGGATAAAAATTGGTTCTTTCTATGTGACCAATAACTCTGCTGGTGAACCTCAACTGCCAACTGCAACACCTAGTGGTAAAAAAATCTCCCTTGGAACACTCTTTATTTTATTGTTCCCCCCCTTATTTACACCTTCTATTTATTGGTCTACTTCTTGTGCAGACCTTAAAACATACCACCACAACTCCTCTGCTGCAATAATCATATAATGGAAGCCATTTCCAAGCAAAACCATGTTCCTCTCACCCCTGACCAATTCACTCTCTTATCAAACCATCTCCTTTCAAAACTCTCTGATTTTCTATGGGCTTGTACCTTCATACTTGTAACATGTGCTGAAGCCTTCTTACTTTTGCAAAAGTGTGAACTGATGTTCCATTTTCTGCTACTTTGTTCTTTCCTTCTTTGTTTCCTTGTGAAACACTTCCTCTCAAAGCCTTCTCCAATTCACCTTGTGGATTTCTCATGTCTCAAACCACCAAGCTATTGCAGGGTGCCTTTTGGAACATTTCTGGAAAGTTGTTCCTTGTTTGAAGTTTTTGACAGTGAAAGTCTAGCTTTCATGGCCAAAGTTCTCCATTCTTCAGGACAAAGTGAAGAGACTTGCCTCCCCCCTGCCTTACACTACATTCCTCCAAAGACCCATCAAACTGAATCCATCAAGGAGGTGCATATGGTTCTCTTCCCTATCTTGGACGATCTTTTTGCAAAAACCAATATTTCACCCCTAGATATTGACATACTTATCCTAAACTGTAGTGGCTTTTGTCCCTCACCTTCTTTAACCTCCATTGTCATCAACAAATACTCTATGAGAAGTGACATTAAGAGCTATAATGTCTCTGGAATGGGTTGCAGTGCAAGTGCCCTCTGTATTGATTTGGCAAAGAATCTTCTCAAAGTTCACAAGAACTCTAATGCCATTGTTCTTAGCACAGAAATTTTGTCAACAGGTTGGTATTCAGGCAATGAACGGTCCAAGTTGCTGATTAACTGTCTCTTTAGGATGGGAAGTGCAGCAATGCTTCTCTCAAACAAGAAAGAAGCAAAGAAAATTTCAAAATACAGGCTAATTAGGACACTCAGAACACAGAGAGCCTTTGAAGACAAAGCTTATTTGTCTGCCATTATGGAAGAAGATTCAGATGGAAAACTTGGGGTGACACTCAAGAGGGACTTACTTCAGGTAGCTGGTGAAACCCTCCGTGCAAACATCTCCATTCTGGGTAATGAAATTTTGCCTCTTTCAGAGAAGTTTTGGTATGGGGTTTCTGTGATCAAGAAGAGGTTCATAAAGTCTGAGGGAATTTACGTTCCAAATTTTAAGACAGTGATACAACACTTCTGCTTGCCTTGTTCAGGGAGGCCAGTGATAAGAGAAGTAGGGAAAGGGTTGAAGCTTTCAGAGAGAGACATTGAACCTGCTTTGATGACACTGCACAGGTTTGGAAACCAGTCTTCTTCATCACTGTGGTATGAACTAGCTTACTTGGAAGCCAAGGAAAGAGTGCAGAAGGGTGACAACATTTGGCAACTGGGAATGGGAAGTGGGCCCAAATGCAACAGCATAATTTTGCAGTGTATTAGGCCTATAGTTGGTGAGTCAAGGAACGGCCCATGGGCTGACTGCATTCACCAATACCCTATATTAGCTATGGATTAAGAATTCTACACTGTCATTATAGAATTCTTAATGTTTCTCTTATAAATTTATAATGGGCTTAGTGTGTCATTTAAAAGAATACAAATTGTGTTTTTTTAGTAACTTACACAAAGTATGACAGGTCATATCTTGTGTAAATCACTTAAAATGACACAAACTTGTGTCCTTTAAAATGATACTTCTTTTTCCCAATTATATATGTACTCAACAGTTTATGGATGGTTGAGGAATAAATTCTCTTTTGTTAAAATTTCAAATGATAAACAGCAGAATCCATTCCCCAATTACTGATACATTTCTTACTAAGCAACTGAGCATTCAGTTGTAAAACAGCTTTTATAATATTATTCAATTCTTACTCAGAGAGAACAGGGATAGTTTTGAACAAATGACTTTTTAGGACGAGTATTCAATTTTAAATGTGCATCTTTTCGTATCTGTAGTTAATGGTAAACTGTTTGGACTGAGCAGGTTGCTTGCATTATTAATTGTTTTTCTGTAGGAAGTGATGACAGTGAGTTGGGGTTGTCTCCTTCGTGTAGTTAAAAACTAGTTTTAAAAATGCGTTTTTATGGAAAAAAAAAAAAATTCATCAAAATGTTTTCTTTAACATTCCAAACATTTTTACTCTTTTACAATTTTTTATCCTCCTTCTATTTTTAGGTTAAAATTCGATTTTAACTATCGTAGTCTCCATCCTCATTAGTTTGTCACGTTTAACCTAGGAAACGGAAAAACATTATAACAACGAAATTCTATTAAATGCAGGCTAACTTGATATCCCCACTAAAATTATTCATGTTTGGTCATGAATCTTCGGTCACGTTTGACACCGGCATCATTTTAGGAGGTACGATATATATTTTAATTCTATCAGTTATTTAATACGAATATCATATGAAAAAATTATGTGGCATGAAAGAACTAATATTCTTACCATATGAAAATATTATGTTATAACATAAAAGTAAAATTCTTGTAACACAATTTTTTTTTTAAATCTTGAAATGATATTATTTTGAAGTTGCAATTTCTTTGACTGGAAAAATATTTTTTTCCATATTTTATATAATATCGCACCAAATATTATGTATATTAAATTTTTATTACCTTATACCGACCGCTATTTCTATTATTAATGGGGAGTAAATTTTTTATATATATATTATCAATCTTTATATATTTTTAAAAGGGTGAGTATTGGAACAATAATAAAATTATTTCTTACGATCTAAAAGTCACTTAAAAAATGAAGGGTAAAATTGTATACAGTCCTCCCCCTTTTCTATTCTCGCAATTCGTAAAATTATTTTTCATTGGGATTAGTTCTTGGAACAGTGATCATTGTGCCACTGTTCCAAGTCTTTTTTCCAAAATGTCACGCCTACGCACTTTTTTCCAAACTGTCACGCAGACAAGTTCGCTGGGAGTCGTAGCGAAGTAGGTGTGGTGATGTGTCAGCAGCTTGATGGTGCTCAAGTTCGCTACTGACACAGGCGAACTTGAGCGCAATAAATGCTGACACGTATGAAGAGTTCGCTGACAGACAAGGCAGACTTGGTTTGCCACGTGTCTGACCCCAACACAATTCGTTGGGGGACCAGGCAGACTCTTTGCACTGTGTCAATTGGCACACAGTTCGCTGACATTGACAGCGAACTAGGTGACAAGTGGCAGCCACTGACGCAATTCGCTTCCCAGTGCAGCGAACTGTGTGCCACGTGGCAGTCCCCCACAAGTTCGCTGCCTAGGTAAGCGAACTACCTGCCGACAGTTACAGTTCGCTGCCCTAGGTAGCGAACTCAATTCTATTTATACACACCCCCTCTTCCTCTCCCGAAGTCATTCTCGTCGGTTTTCCTTAAAGTTTCCATTTATGTTTGTTACTTTTTGCTATTTCAGTACATAATGAGTGAGAGTAACAATGATGTAATATGCCTTCTATATTACAATGGGAGAAGATATTTTGGACCGAACGGTCAAGTGTTTGAAGGAGATACGAAGATCTTCTGCATGAGTCCGCGTTGCAAATATACTGAGCTGAAGAAAATAATATACAAGAAGTTGAGATTACAACAAGGTCAATCCCTGTCTCGACTGATTGCTAGATGCGCTTCTGGTAACCCGGTGCAATGGGTTGCTGTGGAGGTGGTGGAGGATGAAGATGTGTCATTAGTAGTTGATGCATTTCTACAGGACGGAGAGGAGTCCTCATACATCGAGTTGTTTGCGGAACTAAACACTGGTGGAGAGGCAAGCACTCAAAGTTTCGTCCCTCCCAGTTACTCCATAGACATTAACAGGGAGCCGCAAGTAACTCCGGATGATATGCATCTCTCACCCCCACTAACAATGCCTTTAGATGTGATTCCTGCTAATGACATGTATGATCCGTCATGGCGTACTGAGAGTTCCGAGGAAGATGTTGATGAAGGTCTTGTCCTTGATAGTGATTCATCGGATACAGACGTTGATGGTGATTTCGAAATAGAGTCGTCTACTGCATTGTTTGAACCGATTCCATCCCCGGGTATTGTTGGTACGCATGACCAACCACCTGTGCCAGGTAAGGTTATTTACCGTTGTTTTTAATTTGTTTTTTGAAATGGTATTAGTAATGAAATTCGAACTTGTGTCAAACAGGGGAGGATCGTGTGACGCAGCGTGTCTGACATTGAGGACACGATCACGCACATTTGATGCATTCCACACATGCGTGGAGATGTGTTTGTCCTGCAACATCAGGAGAGAACGCGAGGATGGACCAGGGTCAATGAAAGTCTCATGGGTTCTGCTGCTCCATGGATCTATTTACAAAAAATAAATAAATAATTACTAAGAAATGAATAAATATTCAACATTATTTAATTATTCTATAATTCATATATAATTGAATATTACATACTAAATAATAAATAATAACCACATTAATATACTTACAACAATTAATTACACTAGTAATGACATACTAAAATTTGGATAATAATGCCTAATCAACAAATAATATAACACAAAGAAAATTCTACAATGATATTTACAAACCTATAACAAAATAATGTTATTTGATTATTAGTAACAACAATTGCATAATAAAAATTATAAAATACAATAATTTAACAAGATTAATTGTGTAATACAAATATGATATAATATATTAGATTATATAAAACAATAATATATGATGTTATACAAAAATTAAATAATATATAAAATTAAATACTAATTACTAATAAATAAATAAATCAATATTGTTATTTAATATAATATATTATATTTAAATTATATTAAATTATATTTACAAAATAAATACTTGCATACAAAGATATATATTATATTATACAAAAATTATATAATATCTAAAAATAAATACTAATTACTAACAAATAAATAAATAAATACATACATTATTGGCAAAATTATTCTAACCTATTTTTCAATCCTATAACTAAATAATGTTAATTAATTCAAATATTTTAATTATTGCATGATCAAGAATTTATTAAATACAAAAACTAACACCATTAGAATATATATATTTTAATCTACAATTCAACCCTAATCCTATAAATAATATCAAACAAAAGGCTATTATTAAATAATACATTAATATAAATTACTACACCTAATAAGATTATCATACATATTATAAGCAAATGTCAAAATTTTCTAACCTATTTTTCAATCCTAGAACTAAATAATTTTTTTTAATTCAATATTATTATTTATTGCATAATTAACAAATTATTAAATACAAAATATAACAACTTTAATATAAAAATTATCTAACCTAAATCCTTTAAATAAAGAAGGCATATAAAAAAAATTATTATATATATTAATTAAATTATAAAATATTTAACTACTAACATATTAACATGCAATTACTAAACTAATTAAAATAATAAAGCAAATAATATGTCATCTAACCTAATGTTTCATCCTATATATAATATAAGTAACAACAATTAAATAACAATTAAAAACTGTAAAAAAATTTAATGAAATTATAAATGACTAACCTCAAATGAAGACAAAGAATGCAAATGAGAGAGAAAGAAAATTAAGAAAGGAAGAGAGTGGGAGAAGAAAAATGATAGACAAAGAGAGACGGGAGGGGAGCGGTGTTTTAAAACCCGGATCGGACCGGTCGGGTCGACCCGGGACTCGGTGACCCGATGGGTTTCCCGGTCCGAGCGGGTAGTTAGGCCGGTTATGCAGTCAGTCCGGAGTGGACCGGCCGAAACCCGACGACCCGGCTGACTCGGGTTAAATCGGTTTTTCCTTCTTTCTTTTTTTTTGGTAAATTTTTTTTTTTTGATAAGAACTCTTGAATTAAATCATATTCATATTTTATGATGAATATGATTAAAAGTAAGGTGAAAATAATAAGGTATTTTAGATTAGTGTAGTTCGTTTATGTAATTTAGTTGCATCTTATAATGATCTCATGAAGTTAAGTGGTGATAAACACTGATGGTCTCATGATCTCATCTCAACGGTCTAGAGCTAGAAGCTTAGAAGTATATAATATTTGCTATCATTGAAAACCAATTTATTTTTTGAAGCTCATAGATAGTTTTCTTATGTGAATTTTTATTAATATAAGTAATTTTTTTATATTTTTAATATATGAACAGTAAAACCGGTTGAACCCGGTTGAATCCGGTTGAACCGGTGACCCAGTACCTCGACCGGTTCGATGACCGGTCCGAGTTTTAAAACACTGGAGGGGAGAGGGAGGGGGAGGGGGATGGGGTTTATATAGGGCTGAGAAAATTAGCCGTTACATCAAGTTCGCTGCCACTTCCAGCGAACTTGGTGCATGTCAGCCACGTGGCAAGCTAGCTGTTACGCAGAGTTCGTTGATGTGGCTTGCGACCTTCCATGCGTGCAAGCCACGTGGCCTGGCAGGTGAGGCATTTATTGCACTCAAGTTCGCCTGTGTCAGTAGCGAACTTGAGCACCATCAGGCTGCTGACACATCACCACACCTAATTCGC